TTGATATTGCTGTGTTGTGTTAAAACATCTAAGGTAACATTTGTAACCGTCACAGATTCTGTTTATAATAAATTGTTAGTGCGTAACTTAGTCCTACAGAAAAAAAACAAACTGAAACATTGTACACTAGATGGGATTTCAGAACAATCTGCGTTGGTACCACTTAAATCAATAATAAGACAAGTTACCTCCATTTGTGTAAGGCACCAGAATACCAAGACAGAGCAGAAGTAGAATCGTGACACTCATACTGTTGGCAATACTACTTAACATAGCAGTACTGTCACTATATATATTAGTATGCACACGTCAATCAGGTTCCACGCGGAGTGGTTTGGTCTTATGTCCGTGTGCAAATTCAGTTCGGTTAGTACATGAGCTATGTATAAAGGCGTGACTTGTGATATCTATCGATGACAGGATTGACACAGTATTTGCAGTATTTTTTCAAAATATTTCCCTTTATTATTCTATTAAAGTATTTCAACAATTATTCAGCTTTGACAATAAAGAAATGTTGCAATGCAAACAAAGTCTTCATTAGTGACAAACGCTATTGACATGTCACCAATCGCAAGTTCAAGAAACAACACAGAATTTATAACTCGAAATCCATGAAACATTGATAGAATATGAACAAAAGAAAATAAAATACCAACGTGTCAACGGAATCTTAACACAAACTCAAATTTGATTAAACAATAGCAACGGAAATTTATGAAAAAAATTCCAGGAGAATAAAACCAGGTGTTTCGGATGAGTACGCGTCTTCAGCTTCATCGTCTACACTCGTCATGTAAATCTTGATCAATTCAAGCTAAAAAAAATCACGTTCTAATATGAGGACAATGTATACAACAACGGAACCAACATCAAACTGAAAAGCATAAAACACGTCCAGCTTTATATCGCACGAAGAAACCGAATATTTCTCAATGAGATCACTCTCACAAACATAAAAGTACCCCATAATTGTCATCAACCTGTATCTTTTGAACTCCAGTGCTACGGATATATCTGTCATGAAGATCGGGTTGATAGGAAAAGGCACTTAAATATCGAATCATCTGCGACATTTAAACACCCTATGTTGGGGATGCAGGGTTGTTGCTATCCAGAAATGGAAAATTAACAATAGAGAAATTGAAATCAACATGCTTATCATACAGCTTGGTTGAAAGCTGTCCGTGGTAGTTTCGTTGTAGGAAAAGATCAAGATAAGTGGCTGATGTAAAAAAAAAAAAAAAAATCAGCTGTATATCTGAAAATGATTTAACGACTTCGAAAAATCATTTTGGCCTCTTTTGATAAGTTCTTCGATGAATTCAGCCTCGTATGAAAACAAAAACAAGTCAGCCAACAGAGGGGCACAGTTAGAGTCCAAAGGTATGTTGGGAGATCTTAGCACCAAACTCAACGAAGATGTTGTCAACCAGAAACTCGATCAGTTTTTATGATTTCGTCCTCCGCATATTTCTCCTTTGATTTTGATGTATTTCTCACGGAATAGGCATCAAAAGGTGTTGAAATTGGGTCAAATTTTTTTAGAGTCCTTTCAAATCCACTTACTATTAACTCCGCCTCTTGAGTAAATAGTATCACAATAAGACTGCAACCTAGATTTGATAGTACTTAGAATGGTAGTTAAGTACCTTTGACAAAGGTTTGGTTAAATACTAGACGTTTCTGAAAAGGAAATATTGTGCAGCTTACTATTCCAATATAAACGGGGAAGGTCCGTATCATTATCATCGATAGACAGTCTAAATTGTCGTAATAGTGAACCACTCGGTCAGAGATGTATACATAAGTTCTGGTCGACAATTAGTGATATCATCAATTCGAATTAGTAATACCACTTTTTGCAGAGAGGTGCTAAAACGGCGCCTCGTAGAAAATGGGCCAGTGGTTCTTTTTAAATGCTGAAAACGAAACTGACTCTGTCGTTGAAAACAGGACCTGGAAGATGTGCAGTGAAATGTACAATATAGATTGATATTGCTGTCTTATTTGGCCCGCGACCCTTTGCGATCTAAAAATTATAAGGTGTGATTAGTAAAAATATACAACTGATTGGTATTGACGACTTATTCGACCTGAAACCTTTGGTGACCTTTCCCTTCACCTTTGACATCACTTTACATGACAAGTCCAGGTCCTGATATTGTCTTTTCGGTTTTGTAGTGAATCAAATCAATTTTGAATTTAATTCATAATTTGCTTATTGTATTTTCGAAGAAATGGTGCTGTTTGATTGATGAAAATATTCAGACAAACGTTTGAACAATGCCTATAAATATTTCTATATCATGTTTCTTATCACTGGACTATTGTTATAACATTTAGTTTGTTTCGGGCTGTATTTAGTATCACTTGGTCAACAGAGCTCTTTAGTTTGAAGTCGCGAATGACATGTGTGTGAACTTTGGAGTGAAGTGATGTTTGTGTCTGTGGTCACGTATGACGTAAAGAGCCGCCGTGTTCGTGTGCTATCCTGATGAACCTTGTTTCCGTGGACGATTGATAACCTCATTGTTTACCCTGTTATGAATACCCGATAACATACCCACCTCACTTGCTCCGTACATCAATCTGTGCGTGACAGGATACACCGCTGGATATGGTTGATCGTCGGGTAAAGATGAAGGCAACAGCTGGAACACAGGAAGGGTTAGACCCCGCTGTCGTTGTTCCTGGCTCAGAAGATATGCCAAAAGACTTATCCAATATTGAACTTCTAAAGGATCCAGCACCGGGTCCTTTGGACGTTTACAGAAAACAGGCTTCTTTTGACTGGAAGAAAATGAGATTATTCATGGACGGCGAAGAAATAATTAGATACAAGGTGCCTGCTTATATAAGAAAAAATATTCTGTTTATTTAGTTTTATATAAATGATTTCATTGACACATGTAAACCTATATGTTAAAAGGTAGGAAAGCATGAGATACAAGGTGCAGTATTGTAACTGTTATAGAAATAAGTTAGTTTGTCAGTATAAATCTTACATAAGCAATACTATTCTGGAACCAAGTAAGTGATCAGTTAGATAAATATATGGGTGCTCATTACATATTACAGAAATATAAGCTGGAAATTTTGTTGCTGTTAATGTGGTAGATCCTTTTTATATAATTAACAGCCATGTTATCAAGCAGTTAAATCTCCCTCAAATATCAGTTATATATAATGTAGGTGTTTCTTGTCTTCAAATATATAAGAAACAGAGGTCATTTTTTATTCCAATGCCTCTGCTAGGATTAGAACCTGGGACTTTTGACTTCCTAGTCTTGACACTCAACCGATCAAGCTAAAACATTCTGCCTAATGTAGCATATTGCAGTCAACTCAACCAATTGAGCTAAAGGGACATTCTCCTTAGCTGGTTGCGAGTGGTATATTGTGGCTTATATTTTACCAGGGTTACATATATATACGTAGATATTCAATTTTCTCTTGAGAATCTAGAGCTAGTTAAATCTTTAAAGATCTATTCAATAACCTATTCAATAATCTATTCAAATAGTCCTATGGACAACCAAAGGAAGTGTTTATCCCTGCAAATAAGAAAAATTATTTTTATTTATCTGTCCTTTTTTTATCCAAGAAATTGCCAAGAAAAAAAATTAGGAAAACATAAAAAAAATATCACTGTCTTTACATAGCAAAGTTAAGGAAAGTTTTAAACATACACTTGCTTCAACATTGATTTATTGGGATATACTAAAGATTTTTTACTGTTCTACAGCTCATGATAACATGTGGCTTATGATCCTAATTCATGACTCATTGTAATCAGTGGACTGATAATGTAACTACTGTGTATATGTGTGTGTATATATATATATATATATATGATAGATATCATATCAAGATTTGGGTTTTAGGTAAATGAAAGTTTATGGTGTGAGATATGTATAATTGATTTAATGAAATTTGCTATTAAAATTGTTTTCTTTTTCCTGTAGAATATGATATGGACCACACTTGAAAAAGATCCATTGTTCTCCCAACCAATGGTAACAGATACTGTAGAAAAACAAAGAGAAGTAACATTTTACCGATGTAAACGTCTTTTTGAATACAACTTCCTGTCTGAAGAAGACCTGTTTGAAAATCCTCTCAAACATAAGATTTTGACTGACTGCCTGGGCATGTATAACTGGTCATTGGGAGCCAAGTATCAGTTGAATGTGGAGATGACAGGAGGAACCATTCAGGCCTCTGGATCTGCTAGACATGGGGATATTGTGGAAAAGATAAAGAAATTTGATGTAAAGTTCTTTAAAGAAAAACATATTATATTATTAACAAAGCTCAGTTTGGTTCTTGCATCCTAACACAATGTAATCAGATGTCAACTTTTAAAATGATAGTTATTTGGAAGAGTCCAAAACATTTCTGATTAAATCTGATATGCATCATCATGGGATAAACAGAACTTATATCAGTATATATGATGTATAAGGAATTAAGTTTTTTGTAAGTTTTCACCCTTGGAGAAACAACCATTTTGGCTTTGTTATTTAAGCAGTTATAAAATCCCCAGATATTGCTGGTCATAATTTTCCTTCAATCATAACTCTACAATCATCTGTTATTCTTTATCATGCTATGCTTCATTATTGGTATCATATGATAAAATATGTAATGTATATTTGATGTGATGAATGTTTTACAGTTTGTTAGAGATGATGACACTGGAGATTGTGTTTGTTGTAGTATTTTGGTTGTTTTGCCCTCACTGAACTGAGTCATGGTAGCAACACTAAGGCAATGAGGACAACGGCAACCTATGACCCGAAAACACAGGTAATGAGGATGTTATCTGTAACCTAATTAAAATGCTTCAATGTCTCAGTTGTGAATTTTCCATTTCTGGATAGCAACAAACTTGCATCCTCATTCTATGGTGTGAAAATGTATTAGTTGATTCAATATCAACAGTCTGTACCTTTTATCCTGATCCAATAGCTGGTAGAGGCTACTGAAATCTTAGAAAATCTTTCATGCCCCCAAAATAGAAGTCGAGGAAGGAGACATAATCACTATCAAATCGCCTTTCATTGGTACATTGTGTGTCCGTCACGCATCCTGTTACCTTACCTTCCTCTTCCTCATCGCGCAAGAAGTAATCAACTGATGGATAAACTTGTAATACAGGGTTTCAAAAGATGCAGGTTGATGAAAAGTTTGGGAAGATGCCATAGTGATCTCATTGAGAAATATTCTATTTCTTTGTGTAATATGAAACTAGATGTGTTTGATGCTTGTTAGTTTGCCTTTTGGTTCCATTGTTGTATACATAGACTTTGTTCTAATTAGAGAACATGACATTACTGACTTGGATTGACCAAGATTTGCATGGCAGGATGAGTCAGTGAAACAGAAGAAGCTTATTCTTCCAGAACACATGGTCTTATTCTCCTTGTTTCTTTTTTAGGAGTCTACATGTCAATCTTTTTTTGTCAATATTTTGCTGTAGTTTTATTAATAATGATTATGTTGACATGATGCTATTTTCATGTTCTCATAACTAACAGAAGTCACATGTATGGATGAAAAAAATCTCTAGTTTTAATGACTAGAGTTGTACTCCAAGTTTCTCTGAATTCCTCCCAAAATGTTGAAAGAGAACAGTGAAAATTGAGTAATTGTCTTTCTTACCCAGAGTTAAGGATCTTTAGACTTAACTCTAATTACATCTCTTTAAAAAAACTTTGAAAAAACTACTGAAATAAAAGATTAAAAAAAAATAATAAGTAGACATAAATATATGAATATACAGAAATTTATCATTCCAATGATTTGTAGGAGTTTGTACTCCAAACCCCTGATTTTGAGGCAACGAAGATTTGGTCGGGAAACATGGGAAAAGTGGCCACCCATTCCATTGTGTACGCCCAACTGTACACACCAGATGGCAAGTGTCATGGTCTACACTCCTTCGTTGTGCCCATCAGAGATCCCAATACATTGCTGGCCTACCCAGGAGTCATTGTTGGTGATATGGGAGAGAAGCTCGGACAGAATGGACTTGATAACGGGTGACAACAATATTCTAACTTAGACATCAATATGTTGATGGCTTCATTTTCATTCATAAAACTTTGCTGTGCATTTGAGGTAGGATGTCATTAAAAATTACAGACTCGCAGATATATATATATTACAATTGTAACTCATTCAATGATTTAAGGTCAAATGAAGTTTCAACCAGGGTAGAGGACCATTACAATTTCTAATGTGGGGTATACCAGTACTTGTAACACTGATGACCAAATTTTGTTGTCAAAACAAAAAAAGAAAAAAAAGTCTTGAAGTCCATTAAGAGGTAAAGAATAAAATGATCTTGCTTTCAAATAAACGTAACTTTTAAAAAAGTTAGATGTTGTTAATTTGATAAGTGATTAGGAAAGAAAAGGGCAGTTGGAAGCAAAGTATAAATCTGTTAACAACAAACCTACTCATCTCTCATACCTTACATACAGTGAGCACCATGTGATTAATAGAAATCATTGAATTTGCAGCTTTATGTCATTCAACAACTATCACATCCCTCGTGAGATGTTGCTGAATAGGACAGGTGATGTCAAGGCAGACGGCACATATGTCACTCCATATAAGGTAATTACACTTACATGTATGTCACTCCATATAAGGTAATTACACTTCCATGTATGTCACTCCATATAAGGTAATTACACTTTCATGTATGTCACACCATATAAGGTAATTACACTCAGTTATATCACCTTATATAAAATCATTATTCTCAATTATGTCTCTCCATATAAGGTAATTGCATTGTTATATCATGCCATATATACTACATTATTCTGCTCTTTATAAGGTAATCAGGGTTCTGTTACATTGATCTATATTGAGAAAGAATAAACAGAATTGTCTTAGTTATCTCTGAAGACTTTAGACATCTTTTGATTTTAAGTTTTTAGACTAGTGTAAAAGATGGAATAGATACTGCATTGTATTTAAAATGAACCACTGATGGAGACTGAGAAGAAATTTCTAAGAATACAAAGTAGAACTGAAATTAGAATGTGCTGTATATGTGAACCTTAGTTACTCACCCTGCTAAAACCTGATTACTTGTTTTATGAAGGATCCCAGTAAGAGATTTGGAGCATCACTTGGTGCTTTGTCAGGGGGACGTGTCGGGATCACAGGAATGTGTACCTGTAACCTCAAACTATGTCTGCCAATTGCTTTGCGATACTCTGCAGTCAGAAGACAGTTTGGCCCACCAGGAGGCGAGGAGATACCAGTGCTGGAGTATCAGTTACAGGTGATGAAACCCAGAATAGCGTTGGTCAGAGAGTCCTACAAATGTTGACTAATAATTCAATGTGATATCTTTATGTTAATCTTGACATAGAACACATGTTTGTTTGACCATTCGTATTAACGTAATGGATAACTTGATTACCTTTCAATGCAGACAGCTAAAATGATGATGATAATATTACAGCAATGGCGTCTTATCCCTTACCTTGCTGCCACCTACGCACTTGAACACTTTTCCGACTCCTTTTTCATGGACTTTGTGGGGATTCGTGTTGGCCTGTTGCTAGGTGACAATTCTGATTGGCAGGCAGAGCTAGGGAGAGAGATCCATGCTCTCTCGTGTGCCAGTAAACCTTTTGCTGCTTGGGTCGCACGAGATGCCATTCAGGAATCTCGTGAGGCATGTGGAGGACATGGCTTTTTCAAAGGTAGGACATCAAGGTCTCATACCGTAATAAATATGAGGATATTACATTCTCACTTTTATGAAATACATCAACATAAGGTATACCAACACTTCTTAGTAACACTGATACTAAATATATCTATACTAATTTTAATTTCATGTACCCAGGTGCTTGTTTAATTGTGATACTGTTTGAAATATGATTGAAGCATAGTACCTCTGTTTTCCTTCTGATATCTCCAACTTGAACATGTTTTGTGAATACATCTGTTGTGTTTGGTGTATAAAGAATGTCCAGTCATTTTGTGTACATTTTTTTTTATAGTCAATCGTCTTGGAGAGATTCGTGATGACCATGACCCCAATTGTACATATGAGGGAGACAACAATGTCATCTTACAGCAGACCAGTAACTACCTGTTAGGTCTACTGGAGTCAAACATCAGGAAAGGTACTTGTCTCACTAGACATGTAACTACATGTAGGTCTTGTTGAACCATGAGGAAAGGTACTCGTCTCACTAGACATGTAACTACCTTTTAGGTCTACTCGAGTCAAACATCAGTAAAGGTACTAGTCTCACTAGACATGTAACTACCTGTAGGTCTTGTTGAACTATGAGGAAAGGTACTCGTCTCACTAGACATGTAACTATCTGTAGGTCTTGTTGAACCATGAGGAAAGGTACTCGTCTCACTAGACATGTAACTACCTGTAGGTCTTGTTGAACCATGAGGAAAGGTACTCGTCTCACTAGACATGTAACTACCTGTAGGTCTTGTTGAACCATGAGGAAAGGTACTCGTCTCACTAGACATGTAACTACCTGTAGGTCTTGTTGAACCATGAGGAAAGGTACTCGTCTCACTAGACATGTAACTACCTGTAGGTCTTGTTGAACCATGAGGAAAGGTACTCGTCTCACTAGACATGTAACTACCTGTAGGTCTTGTTGAACGATGAGGAAAGGTACTCGTCTCACTAGACATGTAACTACCTGTTGGTCTTGTTGATCCATAGAAAAGGTACTCCTCTCACTAATGCATATGTAAATGTTTCCTATTACAGGTGAAACAATTAACACGCCGCTCAACAGTGTCAATTTCCTAAATGATCTAGATGGCCTGCTGCAGACTAGATTTGAGGCACGATCAGTAGAAGACTGCTTCAACCCTGAAGGTAGGTTCCTTCTTGAATACATATGTAAGTGGTTAAAGTAGTTATCTTTGACTTTACAGCTAACACCTAGGGTATAGTATGGTTGTTTTATTTATCAACAAAACAACAAATTTCACGAAAACTATTTACACTTTCTAACTCTGTCAGGTTGCAGGATCATATCTTACACTTTCTTGTGTTAATGTGTCCCCATGAAAATTATTCACATGTTCTTTCTCTCTCAAAATCTTGCAATCATGCCATCATTGTATTTGCATTTCAAATATTTTATGAAATTATGAAGAATTTCCTGGTATGTTTATCTACTGGAATCATAATCATGTTAATCATTCGTGTAACATACAAGAGGTTGATGTAATGTAGGTCATCATGGTGTCAAAGTTTTATCATTTTTGTCGTGTAATCTATAGTACATCTATGCATAGTGAATACAAGTCGGATTAACACTGAGCTCATACAATACAATACCATAGAATGTAAATAAAAAGGCTTAACATATATGTGTGGATCTTTGTTATAGTATCCTTGCGAGCATATAAATGGCTGGTGGGCCGTTTGCTGGTGGATAGTGCTGAGCGCCTGAAGGAGCAGGGACAGTCTGGTAAAGATAACTTTTCTGCAAGGAACGACAGTCAGGCCTACTATTGTCGCACACTAGCTCTCGCTTACATAGAGGTAAGATTGCCAGTATCCTGATTATTAGAGACCTGAAAAGTTGTGGGATTTGAAGTTCACTTGATTTAATGAGGGCATATGACTTTTATATTTTAGCATTATATCATGACACTGTCAGGAAATGTCTAAACATTCGACACACAATACTATCTGAGTGTTGTATAGTGGAATTATATGTACCTACACTGTATAAAAAAAAGATTTATAGGAGTTCTCACTGTTGATATAATTAGATAACATTACTGTACACGTTTTAATTTGAGGGCATAATCACATTTTGGCAAATTAACACAGTGATGAATTTGTGCATCAGCAATCATAATTATATAAACAGCAGAAAGAGATTGCAGTTAGGCCTGGTATTTTTTAGTGTAATACCTTTATTACTAAAACACTGGAAGACAGTTTCCTCTCTTTCAGGAATACTGTATCATTAATTATGCGCAGGCAACTGTGCTTATTTTCTTACCTTCCATTGGTTTTATTTCTTACATTAGACTTTGTGTATCAGTTTCTGATTTCTTCTTAATAGCACACAGTCCTGGAAAGGTTTCATCAATTGGAGACAGAAGGCAGGAATGGTGACACACCTCCGGAGCTCAAACCAGTCCTCAATAAAATGTGTGCCCTGTTTGGTCTGTGGAGGCTGGAGAAACACTTGTCAACACTGTATCAAGGTAGATAACTTGTATATTGAATCATGTCAGTATGCCAAAAGCAATCTACAACTTGAGGAAAGTCTTTAAGAACCAACATCCAATAAGTGTATATTGTACTAAATACCAGGTCACTATTTACCTGTAATTACTTTTGTAGAAGATGTTATATTCTATTATGATTATCCCTTGACCTCCATTTTTATTCATGTTAAAATACATGTAATGGCAAAGGCAGGCCAAAACTGTTACTAGCACAGTAGACTGAATACGATACACTAATTGGACACCTGGGCACAATTGTATCAATGACTGGTCAGGGAAAACTAGCGGTTAGTGAAAATTTTCAGTCTTGAATTTAATGAGTTTGGAAACATTCTTTATTATTTCACAACTGTAAATTTTTTAAGACAAGTTATATTGTTATATTTTAAGCATTGATTTGGTGTTGAACGCTCTTGTATTTTCAGTGGCAAGAATTTTTCACTGACTGCTGATTAACTCTTACTAACCTTTGAATGACGTGGGCCTGACTCCAAGAGCTGCCCTTCTCTTTCTGTAGATCCCATACTGGTATTGAAGATAACTCTATCCTATCTTCAGTTTATACGTATTTATATGTGTTGACTGGTACTAACAGATAAAACTTCTGTTGATAGGAGGATACATCAAAGGAAGTAACCCTCCAAAGCTGATACAGGAAGCCATCCTCAGACTTTGCAATGCTCTCAAGAGTGAAGCCATCTCATTGGTTGATGCGATTGCCCCAACTGATTTTGTATTGAATTCTCCCATTGGTCGGTCAGATGGACAGGTAAGTTATCACTGATATTTATATTGAGGAATAAATGGATACATCTTGAAATTTGTAGTTTCTGTAACAGAGCAATTATTTTGCTCCCACTCTCATTCTGAATTTAGGATCTGTGACTTTGTGATAACATAGTGAATTATGTGAAAGGTGTAAGGACTGAAATCTCTTAGGCATGTGGATGGCTCAGAGTTCTGTTTTTTCCTTTTGACCAAAGGTCACATGTCCAAGTTTGGGGTCATAGATCAAGGACATCTAAAATTGCCCAGATTTAGACTTTTAAAAAAAAAAACAATTTTCCATTTTTATATTCCAGATCTATAAGAACCTATATGGAGCAATGATCCAAGGACCAAATGCTTTGGAGCGTCCTGATTGGTGGCGAGACTTTGTGGACAACAAACCTGTGGTTGGATCCAAGTCAAAGTTATAAACAGACACAGATTTTAAATGCTACATATTTGTAGCTGACTCTGAACAAAAACTTCCCAGGAGGGCAAATTATGTGATGTTATATTGATATTTCAACCGTGTGAGATAAAACGGATATAGTGATAGGTTTTACTGGACAGGAGAATGTACCATATCATTATTTACTGTATGCAAATGAAAGTGGGTATTATAATGATTCACATGGTGGCTCAGTAATATGTTAGATGTAGTCAGTATAAACGGTCCTAAAATATTGACAGATTAGATTCCAGACATTGCCAGGGATTTCTTTTTTTTTTTTCTGAAGTCTTACCATAATGAGTATATTTGTAACTCTGCTTTGCAGACCTCAGTGTACATCTCTTGTTGAATTCAGAGACTGGAACAGTGTAGTAATACATGGCTTCCCTTAACCCCAACCCCCGCAGAAAATGTCTGTGGTTAGTGAAATCAATGTCATTAAAAATGTGTGTGCAGAATGAAGACTTAAATCAACACAAATTCTTATTCATTTTGTCACTGAATCAGTTTACTGCATGTGATTTTATATTGAACCATGGATTGATGTGTTGTTATGAAATATTTACATCTGTGATCTGTGATTTAAGAGACTATAAATGCCATCCCGTGCTCATTGTGATTATAGAAACGATGGCAGTTTGATGTCAAAATGGCTATTCCAACTGATGGCTTGCACTTTCAGTATTGAATAATTTATTTTGTTTAAAGTGACTTACAATCATGAGAAGACGGCAACATATATAGAGAATGTAAATATAAGCACTGAATAATCATGTGTTATAATTGACAAGTCTGCATGTGTAAGTGTGCATGTAATATGATGTTTGCCTACCAAGCTAAATCATTTATAAAGACCATGAATGCCATAACATGACAGTTCAGTGTAATTTTATCTTATGAATGCTTTTTAAATTATTTATTTACAACAAGACTTGAAAACATTATGGATGACCTTTTCTTTTTGCCTGGTTGATTTTTTATTTTCAATATATATGTACATATGATTTTACCAAGGCAATATTCTGTATTGTTTTGACAAACAAAATCAACATGGCAATTTGACTTATCATCACTTGTTTCCAAACTGACCATACATATGTACAATAGTCCATACCTATGTAACCATGGATTAAACTTTCAGGTACATTTCAATCCAAATCAGTCCACAATGTTTTTCCTGAAGAAATCATGCTGAGTTTCTATCGACACACAAGTCACCATGGAGCATATTTTCTGTATAAAGTCTGTATAAAATTAGGTACACAATATACATACATGTCCTATTAAATGTACCTAGACCAGTCAAGATAATTCTACATGCAAATTTCCTTCGTAACCATGGTGATGCTAGCTGTAGTAGTCTAGTTGCATTCCATTTGTCATTCCAGCACAAAAAGTGCTTTGTCACGACGTTGTTGTACCTAGTGAGTAATTAATAGAATGAAATAACAGATTGTCACCTAAATAAAGAAACTAAAAGGGCTTTGTCTTTCATTGTTTTGTTTTTTGATCATTTTACCCACGTGACACCTGTAGCCATTTCTCATCATCTGACAGGACTCTTAATGATTTCTATAGATCATTTGGACACAAGTTCTATCAGTAGAAGAATGAACTTAACACAAGTAACCTCTATAATATTAAATGTAAGGCAATGTCACCTATCCAGTAATGAAACGTTTATAACAGGAAGTTGTTGAGACCCATACAACTCTTAAAATCTGATTAATAACATGATCCTTCACTGCACTACAGCATTTACCTGAATCATGTTAAATAGCCACCTGCAGGAAAAATGTCACATCTGGGAAATATAAAGCCATCCATGTTGTATTTTTGTGGTTAAACGTCACTCTGGACTACCAATATGCAGGTTTCTGATGGGACGTTTTACATTACATTAAGGTAAAAACCTATTGCTTTCTCTGACCCAATGAATAAAAGAATTAACTTAGGGAGAATTAAATATACACTTTATTTTACAACAATAGCAAAACAAGCTGTCAGCTTGTATTGATCACTCACGTTGGCCTGGATGGAAGCACGAGGTCTACCTGTGGGAGGAAACTAGTTCCCAACATAAACCCAGACAGTTGAGCAGGTGACCCCATGCCTTTTCAATTCAGTTCGGGGAATCAAACCCTGGATGTCTTAGGTGAAAGGCAAACATGTCGCCACTGTGCCAAAACCATCCAAAAGGAGGGTTTTTTTTTATTGTTGTCAATAAAAAAAAGGCAAACAATTAACAAGGAGGATTGTTTATTTGATCGACTTGGTCAAAACAACCTAATTATCATACAAGACTATGTATTGTCTATTTATCTATATGTATGTAACAGTACCAATGTATACAAGCATGTATAACTGGAAGTACTTAATCAGCATACACGGATATATTGATGAGTGCTTAATAATACCAAAGTAGTAGTCTCTTCTACTTGGAACTACAACTAAGAATAATAAATAATATGACATCTTCAAAAAATATTTAAAAAAAAAAATCTTTTAAATTGTTTTTATCCTGTGTTCAAAAATAACAAACATGAACATGGACAATTAAAAAAACAGTATTTACTTAATTTTGCAGAAATGTTGCAAAGTCTGCATGAAATATTTAAATATTGATTTAACTGTAAATGTACCATTTAACTTAAATATGACATTAGATGTGTTCAACTGCACTTATGGATTGCATTCGTCTGAGGAGGATCAGATCAAACTAGGTACATGTAATACAGTACATCTGAACAACCATTCCCACTTTATTATGCCTACATAAGGTTCCAATCAGACAAACTGGCCTTTGTATTGCTTCAATTGTTTGGAGACATTTTTACACAAATATCATCACATTATGTTTTAAATCATTCTTACAAATGTTGCACCAGCTAATAATCAGAATAGAAGTTCCTATATCACAACCGGCTAATTTTTGTAACTGCTTGTGATAAAAGAATTCTATTCAATATATGTTAATTAATTTTTGTAACTGGTTGTGATAAAAGAATTCTATTCAATGTATGTTATCAACCCAAAATATGTTCTGCAATAACTTGTTATAAAGTTTTACTATACATTAAATATCTTATATCAGGTGTGTGGAAATAACACCACACAACAGACATCAATTTTATGGTCTAAACCAGTGAGATATGGCTGCCTTCTGAAACATCTTTACCTCGGAGAGTTTATCCTTACATTGTAATACAGTGGCAGCTGCACCGAGATTCTCAACAATGAATCAATTGTTGCCCCAATTACAGATTACTATGTAAAAACTTTACAGGAGATTAGGTTCTATTTTTTTGTAAATCATTGCCAGATGCCAATTATGTTTCTATTGATGTGTATTTTTCTGTGGAATAAATTTAATTACCTCTCATAACATCACCTTAGAGGAGGTTACCTGTATCTGAGTTAATAAATTACCTCTCATAACATCACAGAGGTAACCTGTATCTGAGTTAATAAATTACCTCTCATAACATCACAGAGTTTACCTGTATCTGTGTTAATTACCTCTCATAACATCACATTAGAGGAGGTTACCTGTATCCGTGTTAATTACCTCTCACAACATCACAGAGGTTACCTGTATCTGTGTTAATTACCTCTCATAACATCACATTAGAGGAGGTTACCTGTATCTGTGTTAATTACCTCTAATAGTTACCTGTATCTGTGTTAAATTCATGACATCCTCTCTGTGTTAATTACCTCTAACATCACAGAGGTTACCTGTATCTGTGTATCACAACATCACAGAGGTTACCTGTATCTGTGTTAATTACCTCTCATAACATCACAGAGGTTACCTGTATCTGTTCATGACATCACAGAGGTTACCTCTGTGTTAATTACCTCTAACATCACATTATCTGTGAGACATCACAGAGGTTAGAGGTTACCTGTATCTGTGTTAATTACCTCTCACGACATCACAGAGGTTACCTGTATCTGTGTTAATTACCTCTCACGACATCACAGAGGTTACCTGTATCTGTGTTAATTACCTCTCACGACATCACAGAGGTTACCTGTATCTCACAGAGGTTACCTGTATCTGTGTTAATTACCTCTCACAACATCACAGAGGTTACCTGTATCTGTGTTAATTACCTCTCACAACATCACAGAGGTTACCTGTATCTGTGTTAATTACCTCTCACAACATCACAGAGGTTACCTGTATCTGTGTTAATTACCTCTCATAACATCACAGAGGTTACCTGTATCTGTGTTAATTACCTCTCATAACATCACAGAGGTTACCTGTATCTGTGTTAATTACCTCTCACAACATCACAGAGGTTACCTGTATCTGTGTTAATTACCTCTCATGACATCACAGAGGTTACCTGTATCTGATTTAACTTTTGAACTTGTGTCTGTTCAATACATACTTCAGTGAGAACTTCGAGGAAGTTTTCAAACTGAGGATCACTATGTGCATGTACGAGTTTTAGCTATATGGGATATCTGTATCCCACGTTCTATTCAGGACATAAACTTTTTAACTTTTTACATCAGTCTGTAAATGGGGCAACAATTGGGTGGTGTAAAACTTTGGCAAGACAAATTCCTCCCAGTAAGGCTGTATACGATTACATAGACAGTTTACTGTAATCTTAACAGACGGGATATTGTTTCAGTCTTGAATAAAGAACTAGATCTTTGGTGAAATAAAAGTTTTGAATATACGTTCAAAATGAAACTATAAAGCATAGACGATTCACACAACATCCAGTGATAAGGTTGGACTAAATAAGACTTTAAGTTAATGAGGCCAAAAACTAGAAATTAAAGAGATATACATATTCAGTCATTACTTCGATAATAGAAAGCATTCTACGAACTGAAATCGATGACAAGATATTGCAATTTACATATTAGATACTGAGTTTTCAATCTCTTCAGACGAAAAGCTATTACAACATCTGAGTCTGCATATAACACTGAAACTGTAAATAATCAAACAATTCACTAAAACTAAATAACAACCAACAATTCCAAACATTCACTCTAAACGCGAGACTTTCAAACCATGTATACTTTGACAATTAACAATAAAAAAGGGCTAAACCATCCAGCTCTAGCATGAAGAGATGTGCCAATATCTAGGTATGGAAAGTGTCTCTTTAATTTGATCACCATATTTAAGTCTTTTTTAAGCAAAATTCAAAATTGTGTCCTTTAAAACATGTTCAACAGGTAAAGTCTGGCACTAATCAAGTTACTGGATGAGAGAGTCCAGAAACAAAAAGCTTAAAAAGACCAGAAGCTACTAAAAAAGGTAATATTAAAACAATTCTTCCATATACTTCATAACTTTTCTTTTATAATTAGTATTAACAAACATTAGCATCTGAAATCCAAAGTAGGCCCTTTTTTTATCATCAGTCCTGTATTTCAATAAAAATATGGGACATGCTTTTCGTTTTTGTTTTAAAATGTCTAAAATCACATTCCCTCTTAAAAAAAAGTTTGTTGTAGTTTAACATTTTCATTTGAGGTTAGGTCATCAAAGAACGGACATAACATTGTTATATACAAATCCATTACTGGGGTGGTTAGAGTAATCCTGATCCCAGAGAAATACCAGTGCAATAGCAAACAGATAAATCAATGTGGCATGTAAGTCTGCAGGGCATTACATCTAAAAAGACATTCTTAAACACATTCATCAACCTGGGACACAAAGACAAAATGATTTTCACACATAATTCAACAACTAAAAAACACAACATCCCTGAATACTAACGTCTCTTGTTGTACAAGCATCAAGACTATTCAAAACCAAGTAGCTACATTAATATTTTATCAATTTCCAGAAATTCTAAACAGTTGCCTTTTTGTTTCCACTACCAAATAAAAAAAATCAATTTGTAATGAATAGATACACAACCCTACATAACAAGGACAAAATAAATCATATCTACTTATTATTAAAACATTCTAATACTCAACAAATTCTGTGAACACAGGTTATTCAAATTAACAAAATGTTTACTTTGTGTATTATAACTACAGCATTTCTCTCATTCAATACATCATTTTGTTTCCTTAACATCATCCTCCATACTCCTGGGATTACGCTCACTATCACTCACTGTACCCCTGGAAAATTTCATGGCAATAGCAGAATTCGTGTGCAACATCTTGTGAACTGACGAGTCGACTAGTTTGATACTTGAGACAAATAAATCTCAAGGTTGGATAATAGTATGTTGTACTGGCTTTGAAGTTGGGTATTGGGCCTTTTTTATCTTCAAATGAGAGTATCAGTCTGTGATTGGTCAGTTTTATTTCGTTAATCCCTCTCTAGACCAATAAAATTATAATATTACTTAGCTTGCGCCATTAATTTTGCCAGGAAATATTCCAGGGTTGTACAGAGTGAAAGTGATCGTAACTCCAGGAATACAAGGATACTTCAAGTTATTCACATCTTGTCATATATAGTTACACTGGTGTGTTTGTTTC